TCACAAGATTTACTGTGAAGCGTAGTGACTGTGTATTTTGCAGTCAAACGCTGCAGCCAATTTGCACTCAGCAATGTCCTGCAAACAGCCATGAAGTGAGTGACCCGTTTTATCATGGAATTGTTGGCCAGGATGCCAGGAGAGAGAAACTCTCTTCTCTTTTCGAATAGTGCCATGGCATCTTTAACGTCCATCTGAACAGGCAGAACCTCAGTCTAACATCTCTTTGTTGCTCCACCGATAGATACTGAGGTTCACACCTATAATTTCCACCGTAGAGAGATACAGAGTGAAGGTTCGTGATTTCCTCACAGGATTTACTGTGACATGCCCTGATCTGCTACTGCACTTCCCGTAACTAACAGTGACATGAGACGATGCCTTGGGCTCCAGGCACTCATCTGTGCTCTTGGTGACATGGAGAGATTTGGCAGAAGGGAAATAAAAGAATGATGAAATAACAAGATAAGATACAGCAAATTAATTGTGCTGTACTTACTCCTCTGACCTACAGCTAAGTGCTGAATTACATATCTTTGCACCGATCTCTGCCAGATAGTCAGCCAGCCATCCTTCCAAATATAACAGGCGTTGAGCCTTTGGCTTTCTAAAAAAAAACAACCCAGGAGTTAGTTGCGCCAGACCTCTGATAGGCTGTGTATTAAGGTATGACAATATATTTTCCCTGTCTGTAAATCTGTCGAAGAAGAAGTAAAGCAGACCTGTTGGCGGACTTTTCTTGTGCGCCTCACTACGGTGTGTTGTTGAGACGTTCAAATGTCAGGTTGAGAAATAACAGGCAGGCCTTTTTTTTAACTCTGTGATTGTGCTCGTTGTGTCAAAGCTACACTTCGTATCTTTAAGGAATGCTGTACCTCACCCACAAAATGCACAGTCAATTCAGTATATTCTATGAAGCGCTTTGAGATATCTCAATGACATGATAAAGCGTTAAATCAAATGCAAGGATTATTATATTATTATTATTCTACAGGAGAAATTGCTACGTGATGGTCATGGGCAGGAACGCTAACAAAACTGCAAAAATAAATGAGATTTGGGGGTTTTACTGTTATTTGTCTGATTCTCAAACTGCTCTCTATCCAGTTTGCAAAATAATGCTCTGTTGGTGGGGTTTTTTTTGTCAGCCAGGTGTCTGACCCGTGTGAAAACACATCACCGTGCTTAAGAGTATCCAAACCAAACTGAGAATTCACATGTCAGCCTAGAGATTCCAGAGATATTTATTGGAAGGGAATGTGTACTCTCTCCCTGGAGGGATGCATCTTGCTAATGCCAGAGAGTATTAGGTGCGGGTTGGCAAGAGCCAAGGTTTCGGGACCCCAGAGTGTGCATTGGGGTACTGCTGGAGTCTAACTTACTATAATTGGTTGGTTTACCACTAAAAGCATTGTCTGGCAAGCTTTCTTGCTGCTTGTCCAGCTAGGACCACCCTACCCATTAGGGCTTTGGCTTGCAGGGTTAACAGGAGTTGTGTGGGAAGAATCCCTACTCCCAGTGGGTGTCTGTGGGTGTATGTTTGGTGTAATGCAAATGGCGTCGTGGGATAATAAGGGATATCAGTTTATTTTTTGTTGCTACTGAAAAAAAAGTACAGCAATAGCACTGTATCAAAACACTGGGTCGTTTTTTTTCAATGATGGAAATAATTGAGGAAAAGACAAGAGGAAAGACTTTGGGAAAAGAGAGAATTATTGTATAAAGCCACAGAGATAGAGAAGGACAATCAGTTTTACTTTAGGAAAGGGGGAGTCAAAACGAGACTTTCTACTGGTGCTACGAGAACTGACAAGAGTGGTTGCAACTTAGCAGATGTCTCCATCCCATTGCATTGCTTGAAGGAGTATTAATGGACGCTTTACAGTTCAGATAGGCTTCTTAAAACCCGGGGTTAGCAGCTTGGTGTTGTAATGGGAAGACAGTAGGGTTGATGATCTGAAAGGATTAAATCAGATAGGCCGAAGGGACATCTTCATCCAAACCGCTCTTGTGAATTACATGTTTGATGTGTGTCAGTGCCATTTGCATTGTAAAGTATATTTCAGAGTTTAAAGTCTGTCGCCCCACTGAAGGTCCAGGAGTTCGAACTGGAGCATCGCTTCACAGATCTGGTGTTTCGGGTGGGAAAATGTTCGCTTAAGATGACGAAGATTGAAATATTGAATCAAACCTTACTCAAACTATGTAAGATGGTTGATTTCGCCCACGAAATACATAATCAATCCACTTTACAACAATAATAACCATAATAATAACAATTCTTGCATTTGTTATAGCGTCTTACATATTCTGTGATATATAATATATAATGTGACTATATACTGTATAATGTATGCCTTGTATATCCTGTGAAGCGCTGTGAGATGTCTCAATGATGTGATAATTTGCTATATCAAGGGCAAGAATTATTAATATTGTCTCATTAGATTTCCGCTCCCCAGTCTAGACTGAGGCCAGAGAGGATGAGTGATATACAGTGATTATCCTGCTAGGAAATACCTCCCTGTCAGTAGGTTTGAGACTGCTGTGGATGGGCTGGGCAGAGTGACAGCAGGACTTTGTCTGGAATCCTTTCGAGATGGGGGTAGCCCCCCCTGATCAGGAGAATGTGGTTGCATTTCTCTTGGCAATGGAAGTCTAGGGCAAGGGAGTCAGAAATTGCACATATCGGAAAGAGATTACCACAACAAAGGCAACAGCGCTTTCTATTTTACAGACACGTAAACAGTGAATGTCACCCTAAGGACCGCTAGTGGAACTCCTTATCAACAGCAAATCTAGACCTTGTTTTAAAGAAAAATATTTGGTCACTGAGTGTCTGGTCACTGAGAGTCTGACCACTGAGAGTCTGATCACTGTGAGTCCTTTTCACAGTCGGAGTCTTCCTATCAAGGCCCTTTTCTCAAAGAGTTTTGACTTTAGCTGAAAAGTTTGCAGTTTCTATTATCCCGGGAATTAATTCATCTTTAATTAAACTTAAGTGTTTGTTGACGTTATCAGGGTAACTGAATGAATGACTTTGCACGGCCCAATAGTGTGAGGGCACAGAGTTGACATGAGTAAAAGATTACCTGCCTTCTGTGCTGTTTGTTCGATTACACAGGTTAAGCCATTTGTCATCGCTGATTGATAGCAATGAGATGCGTCTGGTTGCTGCAAAGAGTGTGTTGGGTTAGCGGCCGAAGGGGTAGATGGTATGTGTAAGCACCTGGGAGAGACTGATGAGAAGACCCTGTCTTGCCCTGGAGGCAGTAAACATCTGTCAGGAGAATGTTCCTATATCTGTGATGGTGAGTGGGCTGTATTTTCTTTTCTTGTGTTGTGTTCTTTCTCCGCTATTCCCATTTATTTAGTGCTTGTCTCTCCCTATAGGCTCCCTTGTCTCTCCCCCCCACCTCACCCTCCCCCCCCACCCCCATCCCCACCTCACCCCATGAGCCATGTCCATTCCCAAATGAACGACAGACCATTCCCAAGATTTTGTGGGTGCTTTGCTCACAAAACACACAGTCACTGCACTTTACAGTATATCTTGTGAAGCACTTTGAGACATCTCAACGACATTTCTAATGCAAGTATTGTGATTATTATTAATACTATTAAAAGGGTGCCTTACTCCCTCCCAATGCTCTGCTTTGAAAGAGTTTTACTTGTTCAGTGATTCATACCTGGATATGAATTACAGGGTGTAATCTAATTGGGTTCAGATGACTTATATATAGAATGATGGATGGCGGGGAGTGAGTCATAGGTAAAGGGATCAGAACAGTCACTTTCTCCACTGAGGTTGCTTTAATGCAAAGGTTAGAGTATCCTTTCCTCTCTCTGCCTCTCTTCTCCTACCCCCTCTCCCCACTCCGCACCTGCCCTGGGGGTCAGAAATTCCACCTTAAACTGTTCTCTTAACATTTCTGATCACTTAATTTCACTCTTAATTTTGGAGTTGGTTTTCTGTAGCTCTTCAGTTTTAAGTAAATACTGCGTTAAACCCACTTCAAAATTAAGAACTGAATTTCAAGAATTTTCTGAAATGTGACGAAAATAGTCCAGACTAGGGTTTAATTTCTGGTCCCAGACTTCAATAATAATAATAATAATAATAATAATCAATGGAACATTTTGCTAGTGCTGCTTCTCCTTTATCAATGCAACTGTCCATCACATCACATCCCCGTATTAAGAAGACATAATTATATTAATAAGGTTTGGTAATAGTGCCTTTCAGGTCAGGAGGACATCCCATTATAATAACAATTCTTGCATTGGATATAGCGCCTTATCATGTGTTCGAGACGTCTCCGAGCGCTTCACAGACTGTATATTGACTGTATATTTTGTGATCGAAACGCGGCAGCCAATTGTGCGCACAGCTGTGAAGCTGAGGGACTGTATTTGTAGGCAAACGCAGCAGTCCATTTTTGCACACAGCAATGTTCCACCACCATCCATGAAATGAATGACCACCTTTATACGCATTTTAGACGTGCTTAGAGGTGCGTCTTATAACCAGGTTTGACACTAATCCAGAAATAAAGATTCAGCAGCAAATGTCACGAGAAAATGAAACACGCACACAAAAGCACACACAGAGAAAAAGGAGCTCTGGAACTCTAAATTATTGGATCGCAAAGCCATATTCTCTGGCTGTCGGGTTTTTCAAAAAATAAATCCCGCTTCTTCTACTCCAGACATTATGGTAAATTGTGAAATCGTCCTTAGATTAGAGAAACGCTGAGATGGATCAGCTGTGCAAAAAGCAGAACTTTGCTTCCCACGTCAATGGAGTGCACTCGCTGCGAACAGTTTTAAGCCTTATTAATGTCCTGCTTGTTCAAACTTTATGTTTCTTAACTTTCTTTTCTTGGGGAAGGGGGTGGAGGAATGGGACTAAGACTGACTTTCAGTCAAGTGCATAGTAAATAACTACAGAGATGCAATGTTTAGCTGTAAAGCAAAGCGAGGGAGGGAGGGGAGCGGGGGGTGGGAGGTTGAAGGGGGGTGTAGGAGACCCCCTATGGACTGCTGTTTCCTCTCCAATCTGGCCTGACCCCAAAGAACTGGAGGGGAGGTTTTTTTGGAGAAGGGTGTCAGCAGATTACCAACAACTTTTCTTCACATCAGGAAACGGTTTGACTTGCTCCGAGCTGCTTCTCTTTTTTTTTTTCCTTCTTCTTCTTCGCAGGCTGCAAATTCCGCGTCTGCAGACGCTCTGGAATTTCTTCACTGCAAACAGGCGGACCTTTTCAAATGGAATAGAGACCGTTTTGCCCCAGCGAGGGCAGTTTCGGGAGAGTGACAAGCAAAGCAGGGGCAATGGCTCACCATTCCAAATACCCCCTGAGACGTTCCTTCAGTGAACACGTTAAAGATTCCACTAACAAAGCGTGGGATATAATCTGGAAAAACACCAGGGAGAAGAGATTATCAGGTCAGTGGGCTTCTCGTTCTATTTCTCCCCTGCAAGTTGCTTTATTCCAGTGAGGAGTGAGGTCGCTCACTGTATTTGTAATAAATAACGGTGTTATCGATGAAACTAGCTGCACTGTCATTCTTTCCCAGGCTCTGCTCACCCTCCTGACACAAAGATAAGCAGCGAAAGTCATTTCACACCGCGTGTTAGATCAGAGGTGAACTCTTCCCGTTATCTTTATTTTAAATGTTTCGCCCACAAAACACACAGTCAATTTACTTTACATATTCTGTGAAGCGTTTTGAGACATCCCGCAGACGTGATGAGGCGCTGTATCAAATGCAAGAATTATTATTATTTTTATAATTATTATTTTTATAATTATCATTATTATTAAATGAAATAGAAACATAAATATCTGCTTCAGATCATTCCTGACGGTTGATAGCACGAGCCTGAATGGAGATGTCAAGAACTGCAAAGAATCTTCATTGCAGCTTCGTGCCTTCACATAACGAGGGAACAGAGGCTGGTTTGTAGGTTCGGCGTGATTTGAATGCTCGTGCTGTTTTGTTGTCCGGACTAAAGTGAACTCACGTTCGTAGTGGAGCATGACGTCAGATGATTTGACAGCAAAAGGAGGGAAGGGGAAAGAGAGCGAGAGAGAGAGAGAACATGTGAATTAATAAAAAATATTGATCCGTAAATTTGATACAGTAGCTTTCACGTCAGAAGGATATCTCAAAGCACGTCATAGGAATCACTGTATATTGGAGTGACTGCGTACCATGGTGTACCTTATCGTCTGCAACCTTTAGGCTATTTCGTCAACGAATCCTTTGCCGCGTCCAACTTCGAAGCAAGGTTACTCGCTGCGCTTTAATTCGAAAAGCGAAAACGAGGGTTGCCAAAAGCAGTTTACGTTAGCAAAAACACATCTTCCTTCTCGACAAACATCCTGTAGCTCAATGGTCAGAGCACTTGCCTCGCAAGCGAGAGGACCTAGGTTTGATTCCTGGGAAGGGTGAAACGTTGGGCGAGTTTCCTTACTCCACACGCCTCTGTTTACGTAGCAGTAAGTAGGAAGCCGGTTGTTAGTCGATTGGTCGATCACTTTTCTGGAGGTAATAATCCCTTTTAAAAAAAAGTGTCCATTCAATCCACGGCGGTTCGTGTGACACGCTGCTGTGCGCAATCGGCTGCCGCGTTTCGACCACAAAATATACAGTCAATTCGCTTCACAATATATTCTGTGAAGCGCTTAGAGACGTCTCGAAGACGTGATCAGGCGCTGTATCAAATGCAAGGATTATTATTATTAAACATCCAAATCCCATTTAAAATGGACTGAGAGAGGAGGGTGGTGGTGGGGAGAGTAAAGAGCCCAGCATCTGTTTAATATTTGCTGCTAACACCGGACAGTAGCTCTCCTCCGCATCGTCCCCTTCCTGAAAACAAACAAGGCAGCAGAATCTGTTGCCTGTAACCATGACTGATGTTAAACAGTGTTGGCTCCACATTGTTGTTGCACATGAACCGAGTCCTCAGCTGTTTCAGCGCTGTGTGAGGGAGTTAGTGTGGTGAGCATTCCTTCTCTTGCACAGGGATGAGTCGGAGGAAATGTTTGTCAAAGTACAAGCTTTAACCATTAAGATTGTTGTCCCAGGGCACTTGGAATCGCAAACAATAACAGATATTTCAACACAGTCATTGCCTGCTCCCAGATCATGTTCATAATTCCAGTTGGCAAAGATGGCTAATATATTTAATATATTAACATAATAACTGATAGCTGGCAGTTAGATTCGGGCTAGATCCGAAGGAAATAACCCACAGAAAACGGAGGAACAGGCTGGAATTTTCTAGGGTCTATTTCTGCTTCAGTTCACAATAGTTAAGGATGACAGTTACTTTGGAGCTCAAACATGGTGCCTTGTATAGTGCCAGAAGTCAAAGCTTTCATCCATTCAGCCAGACTCAATCCTACGCTTTTGCCAAGGATCTTCCCTCCCCCCACCCCCCCCCAATCCTAATGCTATATCAAATGCAAGGATTATTATTATTATACAACAACAACAACAACAAGATTCCATTTATAAAGCGCCTTTCACGTCAGGAGGACGTCCCAAGGCGCTGCACAGTTGGGTCATGACCCGAGCAGGGGGGGAATGGTCAGGGTGAGGGGAGGGAAGGGAGGGAGCGAGGAGGGGGAAGAGAGTCGAGAGGGGAGCTGAAGGCTCGCTCAAAGAGAAAGGTTTTGAGACCGGCCTTGAAGGAGGAAAGGGAGGAAGCGGCGAAGGCACTGGGGGATGGAGTTCCAGAGCCTCGGGGCTGAGAGGCTGAAAGCCCGACCACCGATGCTAGGGCGGTTGGGGCGGGGGACGTGGAGCAGACCGGAGCCAGAGGAACGGAGGGTACGGGCAGGTAGGTAGGGGATAGTAGGTTGGAGAGGTAGGAGGGAGCGAGGCCGTGAATGGCCTTGTAGGTGAGGATGAGGATCTTGAAATCAATCCTCTGGGGGATGGGGAGCCAGTGGAGGCGAGCGAGGGTGGGAGTGATGTGGTCCCGAAGCCTCGTGCGGGACAGTACACGAGCTGCAGAGTTCTGAATGACATTGTAATGTGAAACATGACTTTGACAATATAGGGATTCAAAAGGTTTCCTTGTCATTCAATTTCTATCTTCTAAGCATGTGTTGAATATCAGTTTCCTTTCTTGTGATGATACACTGATAAAAAGTAGGCGTACGGAGCTTAGGTTACGGTGTCTTAAGGCAGGTTAATTCCTAGAATACCCCGGAAACCTATCACTCCTAAATCTCCCGTTTGGTGGCCAAGACAATCTCATCCTTGTAGCAGGGTTTGTTTCTGTCAGATTTCTGACGTATCCTTTTACTCCCTTTTCTACTCAGAAACTAATCCACCTTGTAGGAGACATTTACACGACCCTAACTCTTGAACTGCTCACTTAGCCCAATGTCAGCTAAAGCTCTAATAAGCATCACGCAGATCTATTACCTGTTTTTGACTTGAAAATTTGAGTCCATCCGCAAACCCAGTATGTTAACTGTGGTGAGCCAACTTAATAATCAGAGGCTGTAGGAAATCATAAATTTCGTGTGAAACAGATAAATCTGAGCATTTCAATGGAAGCAGGTTGTCCCAGGGTGAACTAAGTGATTAATGCACTGGTCAAAACGTGCCGTAAATGTGTTCCTCAGGCTGACACTGTCTGCCACACAACAGGGTTGATGTGATATCTTAAAACCGAGAGAGCAAAACATAGACAGGTTAGAGATTCAATACAATTTACTTTGATTTAGTGCCTTTTACGTTTCCTGATCGTTTTATATTTGCTGGTGTTGGATAAGTGTCATGTTGCGAGTCAATGATATACTGAACATATGAACCTAGAGGACATTTGTTCCAGCGTTGATCTTATTGAAGTCCTATAGCGTACTGCTTAGAGCACTCGCCTTGCAAGTGAGAGGACCCGGGTTCACTTCCCGGGCAAGGCCAACCAAGCCTTAATCAAGTTTCCTTACTCCACACGTCTTTGTTTACCCAACAGTAAGTAGGAACCCGAATGTTAGGTGATTGTTAGTTAATTGGCGGATTGCTTTTCCGGGGGGTAATAATCCCTTCAAAAACAATAATTTGGTCACTCAATCCATGACTGTTTAGGGGGCACTGCTATGCACAATTGGCTATTGCATTTTGCCCATAAAATATATAGTAAAATATATAGTAAACTCGCTTTACAGTATATTCTGTGAAGCGCTTTGTGACGTCTCGACGACATGATAAGGTGCTATATCAAATGCAAGGATTATATTATTATCTCCTGATGTGCTGAGGGTCTGTGGACAGAAATACCTTCAGGGATTTCAGACCTTGACTCCTGAATGTTTACTGGGGACAAGTGGTTGCGGGGAGGAGAGTGATAGATGCTGTGCTGTGGGAAAGAATCCTGCTCAGTTTCAAACTATAGACCAATCTCCTCTAATGTGGAAAAAAGGTTAACTTCAACCATTTCCAGATGGTTGGGAATCTCTCAAAGCTAATGCTACCCAGGAGACATTGGGAATAACACTCTGTTCATTATGTGCTTTGATATTCACGATTGCGATGAATCAGTAATAATTGTTTGAAAGGCAAATAAAAAGAGAAAGAATCGAAAATCGAACTATAATCTGAGAATTGTGAAGCCCAGTTAAGCAAAGCCATATTTTACTGACGAGAATTGTGCAGGGTGTCATTAGAAATTTTCTTTGGGAAATGTGCACATGCTTTGGATTGACAAAGCCATCTCCTGGAGACAAAATTCATCTCCTAAGCAACATGCTGGGCTAAATGAATTCAGGTTCTACAACCTTGCATTGCCAGCTTTCCCTTTCGCCCTCCCTCACTCTCCCCAATGTATCTTCACGTTCTGCAGATGGAGCGATGAAGTGATTTGCCTACAATTTACAATTTACCCAAATGAAGTTGGGTCATTCTTTCATGACTGCTTGACGGACATTGCTGTGCACAATCGGGCTGCCCTGTTACCTACAAATACACAGTCACTCCGCTTCACAATAAATCCTGTGAAGCCCTGTATCAAAGACGCTATATCAAGTTATAAAGGGAAAAAAATCCCTTCACTGCCAGAAGATAAGGGAGATGGAGACAGACCAGGCTTACATAATTTTTATCCCCTGTGACATTGGATGTGAATGATGCGGTGCTTCTTATTTTGCATTGGACGTCAAGTTCTCTTCATCATCCTCAGTAAGTCTCAATTTACCCACACAGTCACTGCAATATTACAGTGCATCGTGTGAAGCACTTTGAGATGTCTTCCCGGCGTGAATGGCGCTGTATCAAATGTAAGGATTATTATCCCAATTTCCCCTCCTCTTAGAATCATTCTCTGATAATGCATAATTAAGGGTTCAATCCCATGTAAAGTGCACGGGCACAAAATAAGTATTTCTCTTGACTGTTTTCATTACGGTACAATACAATTATATGGTG